ATAAAATGAGGAAAGAGAGGAATGTGAGGGAGTACGGAATGAGGAAAGACAGGAATGTGAGGGAGTATGGAATGAGGAAAGAGAGGAATGTGAGGGAGTATGAAACGAGGAAAGAGGGGAATGTGAGGGAGTATGGAATGAGGAAAGAGAGGAATGTGAGGGAGTATGAAATGAGGAAAGAGAGGAAAGTGAGGGAGTATGAAATGAGGAAAGAAGGAATGAGGAAAAACTATGAAATGAGAAAAGAGGAATGTGAGGGAGTATGACAGGAGGAAAGAAAGGAATGTGATAGAGTATGAAACGAGGAAAGAGGGGAAGGAGAGGGAGTATGAAATGAGGAAAGAGGGGAAGGTGAGGAAGCATGAAATGAGAAATGATGGGAAGGTTTCTTTACTAGACGAACGCTTCCCTCCATACAACATCAACAACGGTTGGGCACCCTTCTCATGGGCTATCAATCAAGCACGTACAGACAGCCTGATCTGAACTTGTCCAATATTTATTTGGCAGGACAGTTTCATAAGAACGGCATTCAGTAAAGGCAAACATTTTGCTACTCTAGAATTACAAAGTTCTATCTGCTAAGTACCTAGTTTTGAGAAATGAGACGTGAAAAATTTTGTGTTCCACAACATGTCAAACTTTTTCGAATGCAATTCTTTAAATACCTTGATAAACATTGAAACATAAAACCATTAAACCACAGATGCCATCGCAGTTGAATTAGAGTTGTGTTTGAGTGAGGGAAAACGCGTCAACACATTAACCTTTATTTTGTTCAGGGAACAGTAAGACAGACAGAGAGAAGCAACAAAGGGAAAGAGAAGAATCAGAAGGAGATTCATTTGTTTTATGTCTTAGTAAGAGTTTTCTGGCACTTGCAAGGTTATATAAGGTCATATAAGTGCCAAAGATTAGAGCTGCTACAAGAGGGTGAAAAGCACACACAAAACGGAGAAGGGATAAGGGCGACGGATATTTGAAAGGAAAGAAGGAGCAAACCACACCAGAGAACCAACCAACCACCCACAAAGAAGCATCCTGAGACAGCCTCCAACCACCCCGACTTACCTCTTTAAGTCTCTGTTCCTTCTCATAGACGATGCTCTGTACCAACATAGCCACAGAGTAGACCCAGGAGAAGGTGAGACACAGTGGCATGACGTGCTCTATCATGAACATAAACCTGGGGAAGTGGGGAGGTGGGTTGTTTAGTTTTAGTAAGAGTTTTACGACACTTGCAACACAATGAGGTCAGATAAGTGCTAAAGATTAGAGGTGCTACAAGAGAGTAACAAACATCAAAAAGAA